CAGTCCTCCCAAAAGGACATCCTGGGACGGGGACCCTGGGGACCCTGAGATCCGTGTCCTTCTCCAGCTGTACATGTCGATCCAAAGGAACTTCATCTGCGGCGCCACTGTGGATGACATCCCAAAATCCAAATTGGAGCATTGAAATGTCCAAAACAAACATTCCAAACCATGTTTATTCCAGGATTGAATTCATCTATCATTGTTGGTCATATCCATTCTCTATGTTGTTGATCGTTTCCGGTCCATACATCTTGCTTGATTTTCAGGTAAATCTACTCAAATCCCTCACTCAAACAGACTCAAACACCATGAATTGACAAAAATAAAAGCAACACTATTTCAACTTTATAAATCTTTATAACTGTTCCATCTTCAGCCAACTTCAACCCCTAACCAACCACCTATCCCTAACCAACCACTCGAAAAATCCGCCTCCCCGCGGCACATCCACCCGGCGGATCTGCAGCCAGGCGCGCAGCTTGGGGGTGGCGAAGGCCAGTTCCAAGAGCAGAGTGGCCAGGAACCACAGCAAACTGCCCACGCCCATGTACAGCAAATCATAACCTGAAGGATATGGCTGGAGGACAAGTTTTTTTAATGTGGTTTTCCGATGGTAATGAACGGTAATGATATATGATGTATAGTAATGTATAGTATGTACATCAAATCAAAGTCTTTCTTAGAAGTGAACGTCTTGGCCCAGGTCTTGACCGAGCAACCTGAACTATCAATCGATTTTTTTCCAAAACCCAGCGATGTCATCAGATTTAAGCATGGTAAAAAAAAAAAAACACATATGAACATAATTTCAGTCTAATAAAAACATCAACAACACCATGGTTATTTGCTTGGTTAAACCAATAAAAAAACATCAACAACCTCACCAACGTTTGCCGTTTCAGCATCCCCTGGACCTCCATATCTCCATATTTGTCCAGCAAGATACCGGTGATCACCAAATCGTAGGGAGCACAGCCCTCGAAGGGACAGCCCTTGTCCAGCCAGAGCCCAGGGTTTTGCCGGGTGATGAGATTCGTCAGGGAATCCGCCAAACAAAAGTTGGGCAAAATCCTGGCTGGTTGAGATGGTAGCTGGTTGGAAACCTTAGAACAAAAAACATGAAACGAATGGAATGAAACCACCAACTATTGATGTGATTAGATATGATTAGATCACTATGAGCGGTTGGTTCCAAAAAACAAGCAACTAAACTCAGTCATTGACAGCACATGCATTGATATGCATTGATCATCCTGTTTTGGTTTCGATCTCTGGCGTGGCTGCAGTTGAGAAATACGGAGCCCCCAGGTCCCCCAGTCCGGAAGAGGTAGATCAGCACATTTTGTGCCAGATCCTGCGTTGAAACCGATTGAAACCACTCAACTGCGCAAAAATAGAGATCACCAGGCCAGTTCAACAAGTATTCAACAAGTACTTGGAGACCTAAAATGCTTCCAATATCTTCCAATGTCCAACATCAAATGTTGAGACCATCTTCCAAGTCTGTTTTTTGCGAAAACACGTGAATGACTCTTCAAGGTTTTGCATCCAGATCATCCAGCTTTTCAGATCAGGTCCACGAGTCCACGATATTTTTGGTCGCGATCGTTCGGTCATATCAGGTCCTTGGTGGATGGCAGGATGGCCAAGATGATGGTCACGATCATGAGAATTCCACCGGTGAAGAGGTACACAATCAACAGCAAATTCTGCGCCGCAGTGTGGGAGTTGAAGAGGAAGGACAACCTCGGCCATGATGCCATGACCGGGATGGGAAGGGTTTGGAGGTCAATGTTGTCCTCAGCAGAAAGTGCTAATAAGTATAGAGAAAAGTGCTACCCAAACAGCTGAATTTTGTGTTGAAAGGAATTATTAAATGGTGTCAAACATGACCCAACCAACTAAAAGTAAACTATAGATTCTGAAAAGTTTAGCTGTCTTGCATTGAGCACCCCCAAGTGGTCAGCGTTTTCTTGCTGCCATGCAACATGTAGGTGAAAGATGTGCAGCTGACTCCGTACATCAGCACCTGCAAGAAATGGCCGACATTCCCCGCAACGAGTGAAACTAGCAGTTCCCACCGTGCAGTCTGAAAGAAACGCCCAACCGAGTGGTCTATGTCCAGCGAAAATAGGATCACCAAGAGGTGAATAGGTAGATTTAAAAAATCTACAATGATGTAATTGGCAAGTTTCAACTCATTAAAACCGCATTGGAAACCTGAGATGCTGAAAACCACCCCGGTGCCCTGGTGCCCACCGACAAACAGGTCCAGGGCAAAGTCTCAGCACTGATCAAAGAGTCGACGCCAAAGGCAGCGATGAGGAGCACGGAAAGGGAGGCGGCCACCAGGTAATTCAGGATGTCCTACAGTGACATGCTGTGACCATCCAACTCTGGAAGATGGGTCGTTAATTCATGTTAATTCACTCCACAATTTTGTGGATGGGTCAGCAGTCAAGACTAAGCACAGATAGTCACAGCGCTCAGGTTGAGAGGTTGAGAAGTACGCCTTCCAATGTTGAATCATTACCCAAATTTGACCCAAACAGAAATAGCATGACATCAGCCCCCCATGCTTTCACCATAGTCAATCATCGCGGATCATCCCAGCCCAAGATGGCGTTCTTTTATCTCAGAGTCGTGGCAAGTTCAGCCAATTTGCGGGACTTCTACGGCCTGATTCCTCATGGAAGGGCCGTACACCGCTCCTATGGCAATACCTCCACCTTTGAAAGGGACAATTATGATTGTATAATATATTGATTATATATATAATCATATATATATATTTGTGTATTGTATTTATGTACATATTATCTCATGATATCTCTTGCAAACAAAGGATCCGGAAGGGATATTCAAAGTACAGACGCGGTACATGTTACCCTGAAGGTCAGGTTTGGTGAAACATCGGATATTAATTTGTAATGTGGGCTCTAAACCCGAGAGCTGCCACGATCAAAACAGCTTCAGTGTTTTGCGCAATACAGGTAGGCAATGATGTCCACAGCAAGATACGTTTCTGTCTATATTTACAGATACACTAAATGATCTCAATGAAACAAGTCTAGATTCACAGACTTCATCGGTTTCATTCAGGACGGATAGTGGCAAGTCTGCTACTGTCACATGCCGCAAAGGACGCAGCTTCCTACATAGTCCTACATAGTCCTACAAAGAAAAGACGATACTCACATTGTGGGAGGAGATGTACGACATGTTTAGGTAGCCCTCAATGAGAGTCCGGACATAGGGATGGCTGCGAGCTTTTCTTTGCAGTTCCTGCTGCATCTCCGTCAAATCCTTGGCAGTGACCATCTGTAGCAAGATCGCGTGTTTGATCTTCGCACGTCTCAGTTTGTTGGGACGTGTGCAGAAATGCTCTTCGATCTGACCTTGAAATGCGTGGTGGATGTGACAGAATGCACACTGATCTCCTTCGGCACAACCATATCTTGAAAAGAAGAAAACACAAGGGTCACAAGAGTGTGACACCCGTGAGGCTTCAGTCTGGCCCAGAGACTCAGTCTCAAGACCGTCGCGGACTCGAAGTTCAACCAGTTCACTGTCGTGGTACGCCATGGGAAAGAAACTTTGGATTCTGCCTCCTTGGCTCTGCCTTGGCTCCTCAAAGAGAACCGATCTTTGGAAACCGGAGAGCAGATCTAATTGCTCTTAAGGCGGAGCCAAAATGTCAAGGCGGCGGAATGTTGGCACTCAACAGGATCCAATTCTGCATCAATCAGCAATGCATCTCTTACCAAATGGACACCCAACAGTACGAACAGCACCAACACAGAAAAAGAAACCCAGTTCACTAGCCAAACATCTTGGACATGGAGAAGCCCACGATGCATTTATGCATTTGAAGTTTATGATAGTTTATAACAATTAGTTTATGTCATTCTTAACAAAAAACACCCAAAAATTTTCGCTGGAAAACTCGCAACTTAAGTACGGTCAAGGCGAGGTTTCTCGGCCAAGGGGCCCAAATCCAGGTGGAAAACCAGTAGCTCACGAAGTTCACTCCGCTGATGACCTGAAAATGTGAAGCTTTGCTGATTTTAAGCAATGTGGGAAAATTCAGTCACCAATAGAATTCACAGAATACTCTGGATAATATATTATATATAAATATCTTATGATTATAATGTTATAACATAAAGTTGATCATAAATGGTTGCATCAGGCATCAAAAACCACCCAAAAAGATCATTCAGAAAAAAAACATCAACAGTTTGGAAAGATAAATTCCAGGTGATCATACCACAACAAAAGCACCATCCCAAGGCGTCATCCCCAAGGCGTCATCCCCAAGGCGTCATCCCACATGTGGTCCACACCTGCAGATGTTTGCTGCCCGTCTCCCGTTCCAAGACCACAAAGGCGCCCACGGAGGCGGGGATGAAGGCGAAGCCCAAGGCTAAGTTCCTGGCTCCGGGATGGGATGATGGTGACATATGCTGACGCTTGGTGAGTTGATTTTCCCATGAAAAATTGGCGGATCTTTCCACAGTTATGTTGGTATGTTTACCAGAGGGTATGGCCATTCATAACTGGTTGGTGGTTGAGCCCTACCCCTCTGAAAAATGATGGAGCGAGTTCGTCAGTTGGGATGATGAAATTCCCGATGGAAATTCAGAAAAGCCATGTTCCAAACCACCAACCAGATGGTAATGTCAACCCCGGATTAATCAACCCCAAACGGCTAGGCTGTTTAATTGGGAGGATACCAGGTTACTTACCATAAAAAAGTATCAGATAATGACTATTGGAGGAGTACCCCCGTAATCAGTAAACATCAATAAACCATGGTACTGGGCATCTAAGTCATCTAAGCCACAAAAACTCTCAAAAACTGGGAGGATCGATGGTTAAATTGGCAAAACCCTTGGGAAAAGTTTGGGAACACTGGCAAAAAAAAAGGGGCCATGGTGATCTTGACTATATTGGGAGAACAAGCAGAACAAACATGCTGGGAAGTTGAAATTTGTGGAGGACTTGTGATGGCGAGGATGGAGATATTCACTGAGATCTTCTCATCATTTGGCCCAAACCTATATACTATATAGGCTTACATGCATTGGAAATTGGACAGAAATTACTGTAAGCGATTTCTGTTCATAGGCCCGCCATGGCCCACAAAAAACCATCCGTCTCCAGTCAAAGAGTCAAAGAGGTCTGAGTGTTCGTCAGATCTTTCTGTGCACTGGTCAGTGGGAAAGGTTGGTTGCTCATCAAGATCTTGGAATCCTGCGGCCGTTGGACAAAAACATTCACTGACCATGGGGTGTTGGTTGTCTTGTTTTAATCAATGGGAATTTCAGGATCCTAATAAAATGGAGGTACTGTACCATATAAGGCCATATTTTGGGGGGATATCCCCTTAAGTGTCCAACTTCATTTGAAGAAGGGCAAAAGAAGGAACACAATCTCTCTCCCTCTCACTCTCTGTTCTTTTTTTGCATTCCAAAAGGAGTTTTTGCCAGCCCTGGGGAAAGCCAAAATCTCCACATCAGCCAACCAAGGTCTTTGTCTACTTGGTTCCGATCCGCTGTTTGTTCCTTGGGGATCTGGCTACCGGATATTGCCGGTTTAATCTGCCATGAAAATCAAGATTCACATCTATCACTCTTAGTCAACCACCATTTTTTCATGGTAAAAACATGGTAACAACTTGCCATTTCCCTGGTTTTTGTTGGGTTTAACCATGTTTAACCGTAGAAAACCCCACATTTTTCCCCGTAAAACATCGCAACCTCCCAGCATCCAACCCTCCCCCGGTGGAACCGGGATCTCCTTCAGCACGTCCTCCCCGAGGGCTCGGCGCAGCGCCGCTTCGTTCAGCGTCTGATAAAACATGGGCAGCGCGTCGCGCGCCGAGGAGTTCCAGAAGAGGTCCACCTGCAGTCGGTTGTTCCTCGGTGCAGTCGGAATATGTCGGAATGGGGGATGCACATCTCTGGTTGGTGGTTGAGCCCTACTCCTCTGAAAAATATGAGTTCGTCAATCGGGATGATGACATTCCCAATATATGGAAAACATGTTCCAAACCACCAACCAGATCTAACATGTTGATTTTTAAATGGTTGTGTCTAACGGAAAAAAAAAACTTTTCAGGTGATTGTGTTTTCTTGATTGTTTTTGGTTGTTATTGGAAAATATGGAGCTTTGTCAAACGCAAAAGACTTGGGTTTCTACTCAAACCCCCGCCGGGTGTGAGGCAAAATAAAATCAAGTTCCGGGTTTGAAACCTGTGATGTGGACATACCACAACAAAACATCAAGCACTACCGTGGTATCTGCAAGCAAGTCTCAGTTGGCTCAAAGGCACTGACGCACCGCCCAGCGTTGTGGCCTACATCTGGATCAATTTCATCATAAATTCACCAAGCTGTAGCATTTTTGGAATAGCTACCCCCAATCCAATTTCCATCATTCCATCATTCCAGATACTTTTCTTTTTAGAACACTTAAGTATATTCATATATATTCATATATATATATATATCTATTATGATATATTTATAGTATGTTGTTTTTTTTTGTATATATAAATATAACCGTATATATAGCCTACATAAATCATTCACCAGCTTCTGAGGTCCCCCCTGACCCGCTTCCAACGGCGCCTTCTCCTCCCACAGGGTCCCCACCGGCACGGTGAAGTTCAAGTTCTTCGAGAGCACCTTCCCGGGCGATGCGAAGCCGGCCACCTCAAAGCGCCCCACCTGCTGCCATAGCTGCCATAGCTGCCATAGCTGCCACTGTTGCACGAATGAAAGGTATTCGGAATATATTGGAATATTATGAATAACATGGAATATCAAGTAGTGTTTTTGGGACTTATGGAATATGAATTAATGGAATATCAAGTCCTTAAGTTTATGAGATTTTCTGCGGGCCAGGTATCGGAAAATGCAAAAAAAGAATCCTCATTTTATCATCATTTTATCCTCATTCTGGAACCTCATTAAATTTGCATCAGATTTTGCCTTGGATTTTTATCCTCATTTTATCCTCATTTCCTCATCAAATCCTCATTTTATCTTCATTTTATCCTCATGTTATCTTCATTTCTTCATCAAATCCTCATTTTATCCTCATTTTATCCTCATTTCCTCATCAAATCCTCATTTTATCCTCATTTCCTCATCAAATCCTCATGTTATCCTCATTTTATCCTCAATTTTATCCTCATGTTATCTTCATTTCCGGATTAAATGGGGGTTCATGCACACAGGCTGAACCTTCCCCCTGAGGTTTAGCCCCCCCCTGCGGCTCAATGAGGACCACTGCCACATTCCCCCATGATTTTGGTCTTCCCAGTGTGTGGCTCACAAAATTTCATAACCTTAAGTGGGACTTTGGGACTTTGGGGGATTGATTGTGAAATAAATGGAATGTTCTTGTGAATTTCTTGTGGGAGTATGGTTTGGATCTTATTAAGAGTGCTCCAAAAATGGCGAGTGTTTAAAAAGCATCCGCGGCACCGCCACCCGCCGCCCCAGAGGCAGCGACCTGGTGCGACGTATTGGGAAGCGACCAGTCCTGAGCTGGTTGGTGGTAAACCTACCCCTCCGAAAACTATGAAAGTCAATGGGAAGGATGACATCCCATATATGATGGAACAGTAAAAAATGTTTGAAACCAGCAACCAGCAGTGTATTTTACACATCCTCTTGGCATTTGTTACATGTGGAGTATTCTGAATCCTTTTTTCCCCCACATTGACGTGTGGGGTTTTTGTTTTTAGTTCTGTATCCGCTCCTCTTCCTCCTCCTCCCGCCGCCTCGCCTCCCGCCTCACTCACTCACTCACTCACTCACTCACTCACTCATCACTCACTCACTCACTCACTCACTCACTCACTCACCTCCTCACTCATCTCACTCACTCACTCACTCACCTCCTCACTCCATCACTCACGAAAGTACGGACAAGGGGTTAGGATGTTACGGTACGCCCTGGCTGGTTCGCCGCTTTTGCGTGGCAGGGGTGGACAACGGTGCCCTGAAAAGGGGTCAGGATGGACGCCCTTGGGTCCCTCCGGTGCCCTTGGTCTCCGCCGCTTTTGCGTGGCAGGCGTGGGACAATGTGCACTGCCAAGGGGTCGGATGTACGCCCTGGCGTCCCTCCGGTGTCCCTTGGTCTCCGCCGCTTTTGCGTGGCAGGCGGGGGACAATGTGCACTGCCAAGGGGTCGGATGTACGCCCTGGCGTCCCTCCGGTGTCCCTTGGTCTCCGCCGCTTTTGCGTGGCAGGCGTGGGACAATGTGCACTGCCAAGGGGTCGGATATACGCCCTGGCGTCCCTCCGGTGTCCCTTGGTCTCCGCCGCTTTTGCGTGGCAGGCGTGGGACAATGTGCACTGCCAAGGGGTCAGATGTACGCCCTGGCGTCCCTCCGGTGTCCCTTGGTCTCCGCCGCTTTTGCGTGGCAGGCGTGGGACAATGTGCACTGCCAAGGGGTCGGATGTACGCCCTGGCTTCCCCACATTGACGTGTGGGGTTTTTGTTTTTAGTTCTGTATCCGCTCCTCCTCCTCCTTCCTTCCCGTCCTCCCTCCCTCCCTCCCTCCATCACTCACTCTCACACTCACTCACTCACACTCACACACACACACACGCACTCACTCTCACTCACTCACTCACTCACTCACACTCACTCACTCACTCACTCACTCACACACACTCACTCACTCACTCACTCACTCACTCACACACACACACTCACTCTCACTCACTCACTCACACTCACTCCCTCACTCTCTCACTCACTCACTCACACTCACTCCCTCACTCACACTCACTCACTCACTCACTCACTCACACAACTCACACAACTCACACAACTCACACAACTCACACAATCCATCTACTCACTCCCTCACTCACTCCCTCCCTCCCTCACTCACTGTACTTGAACATACATACACACACACACAAACTCACCTACCTACATACATACCTACATACATACCACCATCGTCCCTCCATCACTCTCATACTTCCTCTTCCCTTCTCGCTTTCTCTGCTCAGTCTAAGTCTAAAGAAGTTGGTAACATGTGGGGTTATCCGGTCCTTTAATTTGTGTAAAAAAACACATTGATTTTCACACAACGCAAAAGAATGGATGATGGACAACCTAGACTGACAGTCACCGGGATACCCAGAAGACCCATCAAATCATCAACCACCTAAGCATGTGTCGGAAGTACATCTCGAACCATCCCTCAGACCCAACAAAATCAGGAAATTTCTTGGAATGATTCCTCAAACAGCACCAGCAAACCCAAGAACTCCAGGACATCTTTTGTTCATTTCAATCTTCCCCTGCTACTAATAATTAACTGAGTTTACACCCCATTGCTGTAGGACTGAATTGGATTTGTTTTCATAGTTCCCAAACCATTAAACCATCAGGCCATTTTAGGAATAGTTCTGGAATACCTAACATTCATCAACCACATATAGTTACCATAAATGAAGGTAAGTTAGCCCTTAAACTAAACTGGTTGGTGGTTTCAACCATCTTGAAAAATGATGGACTTCGTCAATGGGAAGGATCAATTATCCCATGGAACATAATCCAGCCATGTTCCAGTCACCCCCAAGCAGTAAACCATCAACGTTCAGATCATTCCAAGGCTCCGGAATGGACACCACTCGCACCGCGCCCCAGCGTTCCGTGCCATCGCTGCGGTAGTAACCCTGCTCCAAGTAGTTGCTGAAGGCGGTGGCGTTCATGGAATCCGCCACCTAGGCAAACCAACCTATAGTTGCTGGATGATAAACATATATATAGTTACTATAAATATATATATATAAATAAAAAAATATATATATATAATGTACATATAATAATAAAAAAAACATATTCAATATAGTTACTGGATTATACGTATAGTTTAAACTGATGAATATTGTTTGACCATTTTTGTGGTTTTGAACTATGATTGAGGTTGACATGAATCATGAAGTTTTGAATTATATAACCAGGGTGTTTTTGGGAGTACTGCGGAGTCTGCATATTTGTTTCATAAGTCTGTACAATCCAACTCCTCCTGGTATTAAACACCTCCATTCTATGGTTCTAAGTAAGTGTTTTTATTCCAAACAGCCCTATTCAATTCATTACACCATATGGATCCATATGGTTTCTAGTGTATATACATTGTATATACATTATATATACATTGTATATACATTATATATACATTGTATATACATTGTATATACATAGTATACTTATATATATATCCCATTCAACAGTGATTCCACCCTGGTTTCTGTTTTTTTTTTTGTGGCTTTTCTTAAAACCACCGGGGGGAATCCCTTCCCGGGCGGCATCATGGCCTCCTCCACCGGCACGCTGCACTGCTGCAGCAAGGCCGCAGCCTCGCTTTGCGCCACGCCGTGGCCGGCGGCCACCAGCAGCTGTTGGGGACCCGGCAGCTGCAGAGGACTCAAGGAGGCCGCCTGGGATTGGATGGGATGGGATTTTGACTGGCGAATGAATGGCAAATTGATGGATAATTCATGGTTAATTCATAGGATTTTTACTGGATAATGAATGGTTAATGAATGGTTAATACATGTTGATAATGCTTAATCATTGATAATCATAGGGGTTCATATTATCGCCTGGGTGTAAACTAGCACATATCGACATTATATCAACAGCATCTTGGGGACGCTTTACATGCATTAAGTATCAGACATATCCTCCTGTGCCCATGGCGCTCCACCTGGTAGTTGCCGATGCCCGCAAAGCGCATAGTCAGCAGGGCGGCCAGCAGAAAGATCAACGGCAGAATGATCTGACAGCACCACGCCTCAGATGGGATTTCAGCTGGATCCTGAAACATGGCCGGAAGGCAAAATAGGAATACAATGGAATACATGTCATCTTCCAAATTCCGAACCCTATACTATCTTCTTTTTGTTGACTAAACTTTGCGGAGCTACTTCTGTGGATAATTTTGAAGTTTCGAGATCCTACAATCCTACAACATTTTTTGGATTCCCGTGGGTCCCATGATATCCCATGATGTCCCATGTATAGTTCAAGAACCGGGCTCCGGGACTACCCCCCCGTTTCGTGCCATGCCTTCCGATCGCGCCGCGCGTTGTGGTAGCGCTTGGTCAACAGGGCGTGCACGTGCTTTCCGAAGCTCGCTGTCATGTCGATCCTGGGCGCATCAGCTGTTTTTTGTGCTGCGATTTTGAGGGCGTATTAAGCCAACCACTATAAAAAAAGGTCGGTTCTTTGAAACCATATCCTAGATGAGTCAAGTGGGATCATCTAAGGATGAACATGTAAAATCAGAATGGGCGAAAACATCAAATAGAAGCAGTATAGTGTGGAATGTCTAACACGTTTTCTTTAGACCTCTGTGTTACCTTAACTTTCGGTTGACACAGAGGGAGAAGTAGTCTCTAAAGAGACCCCTCCAAAACCTGGTAGAGCTACACCCTAAAGGTTGCAGCCCCTGAACCCCAGCAAAACTGCAACGCAGTAACGAATTTCGCACTCTTTGCACAAAAAGTCGATTTGGTACTCAACATAGATTCAAAGGGAATATCCTGTCTTCTAACAGTTGAGGTGCTAGGTATGTATCAGATATTGTTAACACTTATTAACTATATAGGTGCAATATCTGGTTGAAATCAATCCCGTTGAAACCCAAAACCCACGGTAAATCTGCCCCACCTGTTGACATTCAAGGGCTCAGCAGCAGATACATCGCGGGAAGAGCCCTGCGAGTGGCTTGGCGTAGGAGTGGAATGATGTGGCTGTTTTCAGAGTTTTCTTACCATCAAAGAGAGAAAGGTTTTGGTCAACATAAACCTTCATTTTGTTAACAGTGTTTAGCAGAATTGCGTGTAAACCGTTTGCATTGTTGTTAAATTCAATTATATTTTGTTGGTATGGCCACCATCTTTGTTGCTTCCAAGATGACAAATTCATCGGAGTCCTATTGTGTATGCTGTATGCTTATTTGCCATTCTACCATGATGTTTGCTATTCAATTACACTATAGTGCTGATGCGTCCTCATCTTATTTTCGAAATTGACTGATCTCCATTTACTCTAGTTTACTCAGTCATCATCTCCTATGTTTGATGGTAGCCTCGTCAAAAACTGGATACAGGTGGCAATGTCACCGTCACAATTCCGTAAACATCATATACATCCCGGCGATTAACCATTTGCTATATGGAACATGATTGATTTATATTGATTTATATTGTTTTATATTGATTTATATAGGTTATATTATTAGCTATAGGTTATATCATTAAATATCAAAAAACAGTGATGTTCCATATGCAAAATCACCATATAGGCTAAGTATCAAAATGATGAAATCATCCACCGGTGGCCCTTGCGTCATCCGTTGCCCCGTTGCCCTCCGTTGCCTCCGTGGAGATCTGGCGTGCCCGAAACTCCCGTTCCTCGGAGATCTGGCGCACGAAACTGGCCTCGGTTTCAACAGCGAATCTGCGTCAGATCCGCACGAAGGTTCCAGCAAGAAACCGCTGGTTACCCATAGGATCCATGTATGCTATATATGCTATTTATGCTAACATGACTGGGGTATATTGATGGTATATTGATGGTATATTGATGGTATATTGATGGTATATTGATGGGATCCATGTTACCATATATAGCAGCACCATGGATCCTATGGGTTAGTTTTCATCTGTATCTGCATGAATGATAGAATAGGTTGATATAGGTTGATATAGGCTGATATAGGTTGATATAGGTTGATATAGGTTGATACAACCCATGTTTGATTTGTTTCAGGTGAAATGCTCAAAAGTTCTGATTAGTCCTCCAACCATTGGAGCTGTCAATGTCTTTCGAAGGTGTGTTTCTTGTGATTGCTTACTGCGTTTTGCATTAGCTATGGCCTGTTTGCACTTAACCATTGACTCTGCAATTCTATGTGTTGCCTGGGCGACATTTGCAATTTTACGTGTCGCCTGAACGATATTTGCAATAATGTTTACACTACAAGTCACACCATTCTCTGTTTATTGAATTGATCTTCCATACAACCACCATAAATATGGCCCAAGTATATTCACAATAGATTTCATCCACAAAAAATGGTGACATTCCATAACCTACATCAACATTATAATATGTTTTAGATTCTTTTATGTTATATAATGTTAGAATATGTTATATAAATCCATTAATGTTCCCATTCTCATATTCTTCAACAGCCATTTCCCTACGTTTGCCCCTGATTCCCTCCGTTATGGCATCCCCAGTCGCCTGCTGCAGACGCTCGTCCGCCGCCACGTCAGCCTCGGTGTGGTCGCGGCCCACGCGGAGGAAGACTTCCTCGAGCGTCGTCACCGAGACGCCGAACAACTCCACGCCGTAGCCTGACACGACGGGGATGGGATGCGGGGATGGGGGGATGGGCCAAAGATGGCCCTTAAATGGCTTGAATCCCAGTTAATCAGAATCCGCAATCATTGTTGCACTAAAAACGTTGCTGGTTTACATCCTGATGGCCCATCACTTTCCACATCCAGCTACTCAGTCTCTGCACATCCAAGGCTCGTTGCGGCTGCTGCTCCAGGTACTCAAAGAGCTCTGGGAAGCCGCTGCTCTCTTCGAAGGGCATGCGATAGGTGAGCTCCGTCCCTGACTGGAAGATGGTCCCAGGGTCCCAGGAGAAAATTTTCCCAGTGTTCAACTCTGTCCGGAACCGATTCAATGTGGAAATGTTTGGCAACCGGACTTGAGTTGGACTCCAACTTGTTCTGCCACTCATTTGTTCAACTTTTTGGAACTGCCACTAATTCAAACCACCATGGTGGAGTGGCAATAATTATTGTTTCTGGCCATGACTTTTTTGGCAAAATTCCCCGTGTGTCTTCGCAATATCCCTCAATCGTTTTTCTTCTGTCCTCATCTGTGTCGGTTCGACGTCCATCTTGTGCTCGTGTTTTCTTAAACCAACTTGTAGTCATGTCTGGCTAAGATCTACAGTTGCGAGTTGGACAAATGACCTCTCTTGGGGCAGAAAACAGAAGGGGTCGCTTTGACACTAAACAAATGTGCCCTTCAACAATCAACATCAATCAAAATATTCATCACATCAGATCCATTTTTATCAGATTTTGTAAAACTCCTAAGAGATGCCCCCGTTAAGAAAACAGCTTGGCTACGCAGCGTTGCCACCGAGCACGGCCGCGCCTACGTCGCTGAGGACCTCGGCCTTGGAACACTTCGAGGAGATCAACGTCTTCAGCTCCCGCGACTGCTCCGCCTCAGACCGCCGCCGCGTCACCTGGTTTTCTTTAGATTCCAATGTTTGTTCTGGTTCTGTCTTGTTCTGTTCAGATCAACTGCTTGTGCTGAACTTGGAGCTAGCCATTTATGCACCTCGCAGTTGAAACATCGACGAAACATCGATGAAACATGGCGAAACCATATCCCATAGGATCCATGTATGTTATATAATGTTATATATATATATGCTAACATGACTGGGGTATATTATGATGGGATCCATGGAGCACCATATATAGCAGCACCATAGATCTGTCATGGGTATGGTTGTTGTTGTTGTGTTGTTGTAAGCGGACGTCAACCTGCTCCTCACCGAAGTGAAGTAGTTAAGACGCCATAGTATGCCATCTGCGAGAATCAAGTTCCCATACTTCTCCAAGCAAAACTCAAAGGAAGCGAAACCTGCCTGAAAAAAAGAAGTAAACACAGTGCGCCAGCTAGCATTCCGCAAGGAATGTTTGTTGATCAAGTACGACTTGCCAAAAAGGTAAAGTCCGTAGCCTCTGCAGACGCCAAACTGCTGCAGCCCAAGCCACGGCTCGCTGATGTCGCTGCACAGCCGCAGCGATCATGGAGCGTGAGTCACGCAACACCTCACCTGCCTGAGCATCGGCTGTCGCATTGAGAACGCGGCAGAGATGAACATCAATCCAACCATCTGGTGGTGTCCAGTCAGGCACCTTGTTGTGAGAAGGGATCCAAGTGCAAACAGTGCCCTGAATCAATAAGCCGCTGATCCGCTGCCAGAAAAGCGGCAAGTCACCCTCCCAACGGCCAGTGCTAATGCCTCGCTGAAGCCGCCGCACCAAAGCCTGATTGTCAATCAAGAGCATCACCGGTCTGTTAGCTGCAGAAGAGGCTAAACAAGCTTGCAGAAGAGCAGCACGCTCACCTGCAGCAGGTGTTTGCTCAAAACCAGTCACGGCACCTTGAACAGTGGTGCCTGAAAGTGTCGAAACCGCCCAGCTAGCTCTTTGCCATCGATCACAGGAAGTAGCTATGATACAACTGCCGTCCAAACCCAAGGTGGGTCGCTGAAGAGGATCGAATTGCTGAATAAAAGTAACCAAAGCAGGATCTGCAACCATGTTGGAAAAAGGCAACACAGGAGGAGCATCCACAAGTGGAACCAGCAAACGACGTTCAGTAGCGCTCCTGAACTCACCATCCCATGGCTGCGCTTGGCAGTGAAAAGTGAGATGTTCTCGATCAGGAGACCGCAATCCACATTCACAACTCAAAGCAGAACCAAAGCGCTCTGTGACCCTGCCATCCACTGCAGCACCAGTCAAAACCCTGCGACTGTAGTAATCCATGCCTAAAGCTGCATTTGCCTGAAAAAGGAAAACCGGCTCCTTGCCGTTTGGCCATCGACCATCCGTTTTGGTGTCTTTAGTCCACAAACCAACGAGCCATGAATGGATAGCGGCTTTTTGCAAGCTTTTCAAAGACATCCACCCAGGTTTCAAAATCCCAGCAGGCGTGTGCCACAGGCCATCGTCAAGTCGCCATTTCCAATCTTTAAGCACTGCTTTCCAGCGAGGAGCAGGCGAGGTAGCTGCAGGCAACCCTTGGGCACGGCGGCATTGCCGATTCCATTCCGCCCGGGCGGCGGTGAACTGGAGCGCAAACATCGGATGTAGTCTTGCAGAACCCAAAGAATTCCAAAAGAGCAGCCGGCTCCTACCTGGAGGAGCCCTTCGACCCCAAAGTGCAGTTTCGATCATAGATGTCCATGTTCGAATGGTTCTTGCACTGAAGTGATGAAAAGCACCGGACCAAGCAAATAAAGATATCACCAACTTATGCACCAATGCAATGCGAGTGCCTAAGTGCTGTGCTGCCAAACGAATTTTGAGACACCGTCGCTGAATGTTGTCACTGACAATATCCGCATCAACACAAGAACTGGGGCGTGACAAATTGTATTGAATGCCAAGCAGTGTGAAAGTATCCGCAGGTACACCTACTAAATCTTTCTTCTTGCGCACCTTGGCAACCAGATGCGGTTTGGTGGCGAAGCTAGCCAATTTGTCAGGGTGAAGTTCGAAGCCGAGAATAGCATCGGCTTGCGCTCCCGCAGTCATGGCGTTGATGACCACTTCAAAACTTTGACAACCTTGTTTCCACATGGTGCGATCGTCCAAATAAATAGCCAAAGAAATCCTTGGTTCCTGCCGTTTGACAAACCTCACCCAACCTGTCATCAAAGCGTTCAGTAGCGCAGGGCTGGCTGGACAGCCTTGCAACAAACCCCGTTGAGCAATAACCGGATGAGGGTGATAAGAACCTTGCCAAGCAAACCAACGACGCTGTTCACTGTAAAAATCAGCGAGTAAATCACAAATTGATGAGGGAGCACCGAACCATCGCCACACTTTAATGGCTGTCTGAGGGCAAACTGAATCAAAACACTTGCGAACATCAGCTTTGCACCCGACCAAATCGACACGAGACTGCTTTGCCGCGCTGACAGCTTCGTAGAAACGTTCATGGACTTCCATGATGCCCTTGCCTGGTAGACCACCAAAAAGTTCGGGCGAAGCCCATTCCGCAATCCAAGGCTGTAATTTTTTCAGAGTGGCACTCATGCAAATACGCCACAGGACAGTGACAATGGCTAAAGGGCGCATGCCACCAGTAGCTTTTGGTAACAAAGCAATTCTAACATCTTTCCACATCGCAGGAACACAGCCATGTCGCAAGCAAGCATCCCAAAGAGCACCGACCTGATCCCAAAAAGCAATGGGAAGATTGCACAAATGGAGAGCTGTCCAGGCATCCATGCCCGGAGCCTTGTCCTTCGCTTTGAGCGCAATCCGAACCAATTCAGAACCACTAACCTGAATACAGTCATCCGGCAATGGATCGCTTGCAGAGCCAATCTGAGAGTACAACTGGTCCCCCAGATTCAAATTCGGAAGCGACCCTGGATTCCAATACCTCTCCCAATCCAATGCTGCGCACTTGGCCCTATCTGCAGGTAGAATGGGGCCATCAAAACTTGCAGTAGGACTGGCGGGCGGCACCTGTTTGACCCACCTGCCTAGTTTGGTGGCATTTTCCTGCACGCTGTCCTTCCACGCCTCCAAGCGTAACTTGGACGCTGCTGTAGCTTCTGCATTTGCCAATTCTAGCACTGCACTAACCAACCTGGGGTCATCCAAAGAGAAAAAAGCCAAAGAATGATGTAAATGAGGGCCATCACGAACCAACTTCTTCTCCAACTCTGGCAACGGGGCCTTTTGGTACTCCACCACTCTTCGTGCGAAGCGTCTGAGCTTGCGCTCTTTCACTGTTTGCAAAGAAGGCGCTTTTGAAGACGGAGGACTGGCAATTTGCTGCGGGCCCTGGCGCATAGCACGACCAGTTTTGCCACGTGCGAGAAGAAGAGATTCTGCGCAGTTGCTAAGTAAGGTCCAAGCAGAGTCCACGTTGCCTGTACTCAATGCATTTCCAAAATCGTCACATACTTCTTCCCAAGCACTTAGCCAAGAAGCTTCAGCGACCTTTTCAGAATGCAAAGGGGCACCAACTGGGAGAGTCCACGGTGTGGATAATGAACCAGGCACATGCAAGTTGTAAACCACCGCGTCATGGTCAGCCACGCCAAGATGTTGCTCCCTACCAGTAATAATTAACCGAGGAGTGCACAAGCCATAGTCAATGACCACACCTGTATAAACACCTGCAGCAGTTCGATGTGTACCACCTAAAACACGATCTCCGCAAACCAGCTCATCACAGGACCGCCACTGTCCAGTAGCCAAAACGTTAGAAATTGGCCAACAATGAATTTCCAAATTGAAGTCACCCATGATCACTGTATCTTCACCACCAGCAGCAACAAACTCGAACAGCGCACCCAGCGCACGGCTGGCAGCTGTGCGATCTGAAGCATGTAAGTAAACATTGATGAGAATCAACGGCCTTTGCTGAGGTCTATAGAGTTTGACGACCATGGATCTTTCCACCGACACCATGTCGACAGGAAGGGCCAAGGCCTCAGCAGGCCACTTTGTTAGAACCAATGTACCACCTTCCACTACATTTTTCGAATTTCTTCCTTGAGGGCCAGGAAAAAGTTGCCACCCACGTGCCTTGACGGCACGAGTCACAGCATTCCAGCTGTGATTGTTAACTCTAGTTTCTTGAAGACACAGAACATGTAAATTCTGGAGCTGAGCAAAGTCAAGCACACCACCCAAGCGGCCTCCCAAGGACCGTACATTCATAGTCCCCAACCGCATAGTGCTGTCAGAGCCCGTCATGGGTTCTGATCCACAGCGCCATCCTGCTGCAATCCCAAAATGTCCAAAGCTCGCGAAG